GGGGAATTTTCGGCTCTCAACTCTCTCCTACCTACCGATAAGACTGAACAGTCTTTCTCTTATGATAAGAGAAAGACTGTTCTCAAACTGTGCCATCACAAATAAATAAACACTAAACAGGCGCGGCGCCTGCCCCTTGCACCGGTATTTGCTGCTCTGAAATGCGCACTGCACCCCCGGGGAACGCCGCCCCCCCCCCCCCCCCCCGGCTGCTGCGCTGAAGCCTGAAACGGTAACCAATCGAACGTTGAACAATTTGCCGTGCGCGAAACCGCCGCGGCGTGCAAATATAAATGCGTTGGAGACGCCGGGGATTGTTGATTTATGCGAAAATGTACCAGTTATAGGCAGGCCAGGCTGCTCTAGCTATTAGCATCGTATGTTTTCCTACGACTTGAGTTGAGTGAATAGTTTGTACTTATTTAGAGAATAGTTTCCAAGTTTCTCTTTGTTAACGACGCAAATGATTGCTTTGCTGCCGTCATTGCTTCCCTGCTTTCATTTCATATTAAAATTAAGTTTCATTTATATCGTCTGGTTTACAACGACTGGGTTTTAAAGGTTGAATAGAACTTTTGAATGTGCTATTTGTCTTGGCAACGTTGTGCTTTCATCCGCCACTCTTACTAGTCATTTCGGAAATATATATTTGTCAGTAAAAAGCGTCTTCGAGGTTCGATTACGATCTCAGTTCGTCCCCATTTAAGCCTTTTACATATTTGAACGGCCTTTGGACGAAGTCGCTTGGCTCGGCAGAAGTTCAGCCTTCATGCATATCGAAGCGAGTCTGAGGAACAGGCTGCTATTAACTTAGCTGCAGGCATCCGCGATAGCAGCAAATTAGAGAATAAATTAGTTGAATAGGTTGGCAAGCTTAATGGTCCAGGGAATTGCCGATGGGCCCTCACGTAGCCGCTATTACCTGCTTACGATTCGATGGTAGATGGTAGCTGTCTCTGCGCAAATGTAACGTCCCACTGGCTTGGTCCTGGTCAGTCTGCAAAATAACTACTTTTAAATACAGCTTTATTAATTTTCATAAGCCAAACGCTACTTTCAATTTGTAACTAATATAAGTAATGATTTATTGACATTTTAAACTAGCACCATCGAAACTCCCAGCCACCATCGACCGAAAAGCCACCATATGGTGTGCCACCGAAAACACCAATCTCTGACAATTTCGCCCGTCACATGTTTGTGGGGAAGCGCGCGACCGGCCGCCGCCGGCACCGCCATTCAAATATCAATAATCAATCGGCCGCCGCTCGTGGAGATATTGGAAGATGTGTCAACACTCAACATCCCGGGGAGGGTCGAGACGCGTGGGGAGGGATTCGACCAGCCTCGCGGGCGAAGTATGACTCGGGCGCCGCAGTGGTCTGATACCATCTGATGCTGACGTCTTGGTGGGTGGTTGTCTTATAGCAGCCAGTAACCTTTCCTTACCACTCTCCACAGGTGCGGACGATAGCTGGGAGGCTGCCCGGCCGCTCGGCTGCTCGCCTTTACTTGTGTTTGTCAACTCAAAGTCGGGCGACCACCAGGGCATCAAGTTCCTGCGCCGGTTCAAGCAGCTGCTCAACCCGGCCCAGGTGTTTGATCTGATGAACAGCGGCCCCGCACTCGGGTGAGTGAGTGGGTGAGTGAGTGAGTGAGTGAGTGAGTGAGTGAGTGAGTGAGTGAGTGAGTGAGTGAGTGAGTGAGAGTGAGTGAGTGAGTGAGTGTTAGTCAGTTGGTCAGTCGTTCTGTCAGTGACATTGCGTGGTGTGACGTCACGGGTTTCTTGCAGTAATCTGAAACCCGTCATTCCAACTTAATTTGTTCTCAGGCAGGAAGCCAGCGTTGTAATGGCGTACCTTTATATAAACATGATATGGAACACAGGGCACTATAATCATAATATTATACAGAGTGACGTCAGTGATGCCGGATCGCGTTACGTATTAATGAACTGATTCTTTGTGTAGATCTCCTAATTATCGCGCAAGAAACTGCTACCCATGTAACAATTAGCAGGTCAATTCAATTGTGTTTGGTTGGTAGTGACAACATCCCGGTGCACAGTATTGCTGCTCTGTTCGGTGCGCTCTTAAGTCCCAATTGGCAATCTGAGCAGCTCCGGTACCCACGTATGTGGAATGGGGGCATAATTTCTGCTCTGTGTGGTGCCAGACCTACGCAGGCGGATATACAGTGCGATGATTGGGTAGGCGTGGACGCTCTTTTAGTTTGTGCTCTATCCGCCACGCTATACGAGGTAGTATAATTCCGCCGGTTACAACGCAGCCGAGTGACTGATGCAGTGCGGCGGCGGAGTAGCGGTGCTAACTATGGAACAAATTGCCACGCACCATCACGGGTACTGACCCTACAGACATTCTGTGTGTGCATCTGCGACGTAGCTGTCACTTCTCTGTCTTCGGAACTGATGGGGCCAGGACAAGGTTCTGAGAACAACGTAGTGCGACGTTCTTTTTCTCATATTTGGTGATCGGAGAGTAACTGTGCTTGGCGTATGTCAGCTATTGTCTGTGTCTAATAGTAAAGCTCATGTCTTTCTGCGCAGGGCTGTCAATAATGTCAGATGTGACGAGGTTGTGCGTCGTATGGGTTCAGCGGCCCGTGAATCCGGCGTCGTCCGTCCTGCTGTCTGCGCCCACTGGACTGCTAAGAAATGTGACGTTCTAGCATGTGTCGGACAGAACGGAAGAATGGGGTGGAAGGAGACAGGACGGAACAGGATGTGACGGAAGGACGAGACGGAATGGGGTAGGATAGAATGAGGCGATGCGACGGAACCTCCAAACTGAACGAAGCGAGGTAGGGGGCGGACCGCTCAGCCTGTCGACGCGCTATGCCACGTCGGCAGCTCGGCTAATTGTATACACAGCGCCTGGCGCCTCCTCTGTGAAAGCACGTTGCCCCTCCCGTGGGGAGCGCGCCCACCTGTCTGTTCGACCCGCCTGCCTCTGGCGTCAGCTCTGCGCTAACCGGCCCGTATCCCGCACAGTGGGGTTGTTTAGCCGGGCTCCCGGCCGGCCGCGGCCGAGGGATGAGGTGACGGCTGACGGCCGACCCGACCGACCAGCCCGGTCCCTGAGATGTGACTCACGGGCTCACTGACGGCGCGGCGGCGCCCGCATCGCCTATTTACAGCGGATCCGGGTCGGCCGACAACGGCGTCACTCACAGTTACGGACGATACAGGCTAAAATGTGGCGTATTTATGTATCGCACCAGAGACACCCTCAGTCGTGGATGTTTTAAATTGAGTGGCGTCTTTAAGCTCTGTATAAATGATGCATGTAGATGACGTGTATGTAATGCGGTTTTATGGAACTTTTGAAAGAGGAGCTTGTGGCATTCAGAGTTACCAGGCCGCGGTTTGATCCCCCCCTCCCCCGGTGTTTTACCGCCACCTCCTCATCAGCAGTCATCGCCCGCGCGACCGGCCGGAGTTGTCAGCGCCGCTCCAAAGGCCACCCTGTCCAAATGTCACAGCGGAAGTGCTGGTCGGTGGCGCCGGAAGGCGACGGAGCGGATGTGGCCGGGGAGGGGAAACGGAGGTGCGGAGTTGAGCCGTCCGGTCACAGATACCTATGTCCCGTTCCGGGTCACCCTCGACGACGGATGAAGGCAAAAACAGGCCGCTGGAAGTTCATACCAGCTCCGGCGGCCTGTTCGACCTGCCGGGTCGATGGCAGCCCAACACCAGCCTCGCACCGCGGCAGCTGAGAGTAAGAGCGGTGCTAGAGCTATAATGAGGCGGCCAGAGGGTGCTCTGCAAAGGTCAACTCGACTCAGAATGAGCTCTCCACAATGCGGCGGCGCGTGACACTTTGTGATCGGCTGAAGACGAAATTACGGCTGACCTGGTAATATCGGGCTGCTGCGGTGGTCCTTTCCACACCTTTCATGTCACAATGAAGATTATGATCAGGATATTAAACGGATTTTGGAATAAGACCATGTTTTCCTTTCCAACATGTCCCCACGATTCATATCCCAGTGACTTCACTCGTGGCTGTGTTAGTTCCGCAGCCTGTGTACTCGTCGCTCTTTGATCGCTTGTAGGTCATGTTTTCCTTCCGCAGTATACCTGTATCATTCATGTCCAACAATGCGTGCTCGCTGAGCGCCTGAGCTGCCCGTGGTATACACTATGCAGCTGTCTGGCTCAGGGGTATTCCGTGTGACGTCACGCCGCCCCCGTGTCGGCAGGCTGCGGCTGTTCAAGAAGTTTGACCAGTTCCGAATACTTGTGTGCGGCGGCGACGGCTCCGTCAGCTGGGTGCTGTCACACATCGATAAACTGGACATGCACGTGAGTAACCCCGTAGCTCGTAGTCTTGTCGACTTTCCCTACCCACATGCCCTGCCGCAGTCACTAGCCGTCTTGGAGCTGCGTAGTGGATATGCTAATCGTTATCGCATATAATTGTAGAGCCGGAATTCGCCAGAAATGGTCCAATGCATTGAATTTTGAGGGAATATTTTTGGGACCTCCTTTGATAAACTCATTGATCTTTAAGTGAGTTGTTTATATGCCCCTGTTTGTGCCGCGGGCCTTTCCCTCGACCTTTACCCTAATAAGGTCAATTAATTTTGATGGCTTCCAGGTAGGGATCTAGAGTTTTCAAGGGCTTTTCAAAGGAGCATTCAGGACGCTTCAACCAAATAAGCTCCAGATGTTTTCAGCTGAAGAAATATGCTTGATTAGAGTAGAGGCTCAGTTTAGTTTAAGCCAACCACCGTGTTTTTTACGGCTCGTGCTAAACGCGACTCGAACGTTCTGTTTAGTACCACGCTAGATGACAACTTCTCATTCAGCACCTTCTCCCGTGTACCGTTTTCCTCAGAATGTCCTGTACCCCAGCGAACAGAGGCTTGTTCTCTGTAGCCAATATTACCCAGCCGCTCCGTTTCCGCTCAGCACTGTGACCTCTTAGTGTGTCACACGGCCGACGTTACGGCGGTAATATGTGCCGCTGCCGGGGCGCTGCATGGCCCCGGATAATCGTCGCCTTGACTGGGCTCCATTCGTCACCACCGGAATTATGCACGGGCGCCTGTACGGCGGTGGGAGGCGATAGTTACGCTCCGCAGACATTGATCGTCCCGCTCCGGACGAAACCAGACTGGTACCGCACGGCCAGGCGGGCTGAGGACTCCTTCTAAAGTGTGATGCGAAGGGCACTTTGAAGGCATGTTGAGTAGGAGGTTAGGTGTCCCACGTTCATGATCTGTGACCCTGGCCGTCTGTGCCTGAAGTAACGTCCGTTGGGCGCAAAATGACCTCGCAGTCGGCGCGCCCCTAACCCCCAACAAACAAACAGAAGTAACGTCCGTGTCCAGACCTCCCTACACTCCGTTTCTCCCGCGCAGACCCCCTCCCCATCCGTCTCTCCCCCACTCTGAATCTCCCCTCAATGTCCGCAGCGTCAGTGTCAGGTCGGTGTGCTGCCGCTGGGCACCGGTAACGACCTGGCTCGCGTGCTGGGCTGGGGCAGCGCCTGTGACGACGACGCCAACCTGGCGCACATGCTGGAAAAGTACGAGTGCGCCACCATCAAGATGCTCGACAGGTGAGTATAAAGAGGGGTGTGTGGGGATGGGGGCTCCTCCGGACTTTGTTGACATCATAGGAAAGTGTTGCGCGTAAGCACCGATGATGAATGGACTGTATGACGTGACTCAGCCAGCCTGTCATTTGTTTAGACGGGATGACATTGGGGTCATCAGGTAACTGAGCACATTAGGCACTGTCTCTATGCTGCGGAGCCGTCTCCTCTCTCGTGACCGGCTGACCTGTATGAGTGTGTGTGACGTCAGACAGTGACGTCAGACGCCGCCCCGGTGAGGTGCTGCTGGGGCCGCGCGGCGGACACGGCTGGTTTGTTTGCGACTGCGGGTGTATTTGTGCTCGTCCCCGGTGTAAACGCAGCTCCGTGTAAATCCTTCCTCTGCCAATTCCCGTGATAAACACGGGCGCAAACTATTGTGTCAGCCAAGGCGCTTTACAACTTCTCTGCCAAATGTTCCGGTAAATAGACGTTTCAGTGTCTTGTCTTTGAATTGGAGAGCAGTCGTTCTATTTCTAATTGTACAGGCTGGAGTCGTTAAATGAGTAGACTGGTTTTTGACTTTTTTGGATCGATTCAATCATTGATTCATTTGATTTTTGTTTGATTCAGTCACCGTTTGATTCCTTCAAAAAATTTGGTAAATCGATTCCTTTTGATTCAGAGAATCAAAAAACAATAAAAGAAATGATTCACGTTTGATTCAGCCAAATTTTTTTTTGAATGATTCTTTTTTGATTCAATTAAAAAATAAAATATACAAAACATCAGGGATAGTATTGTATTTGAGATATGACTTGAGTGTCATGATTAAAAAACTTTTCCTCAGGACTATATGTAATTAATGTTTATGTTTTTCGGAGTTGTTCAAGAGGATAAGTACAAATATTACATTTATTCAGATATTTCGGTACTCGTTGTGGTACCTTCATCGGTGAAATGGCGCACAAAGTTTCGGTTCGTAGTTCGACAATCACATACAATACAAAACACGCGACAACGTCATCTAAAAACCTACACTTTAAATATGCCTGAGAAGACCTAATTACCTAAACCTAATTTAGCACCAAGCATATTACAGGCAATTTACCAGATGTTGGTGATGTTGGTATTATGCTTGGTGCTAAATTAGGTTTAGGTAATTAGGTCTTCTCAGGCATATTTAAAGTGTAGGTTTTTAGATGACGTTGTCGCGTGTTTTGTATTGTATGTGATTGTCGAACTACGAACCGAAACTTTGTGCGCCATTTCACCGATGAAGGTACCACAACGAGTACCGAAATATCTGAATAAATGTAATATTTGTACTTATCCTCTTGAACAACTCCGAAAAACATAAACATTAATTACAGTATTGTATTTGTTGTGTTCTTTTTGTTGTCATGTAATGGCAGTAGTGTTAATATTTGTTGAAAATGAACTATGTTCGTTCACTTCATTTTTTTTTTTTGAAGTTCATGAATCATTAATTTTTTTGATTCAATCAACCCTGATTCCCAATGCGTTTGATTCAATCATGACTTCTGAATCAAACAATCCTGACGGTGAATCATACCTTTTTGATTCAACAAATTTTGTTTGATTCAATCCAATCGATTCAATCACAGATGAATCAAACACCAGTCTGTAAATGAGTTTGCAATAGTTCTAAAGTGGGAGTTAGTAATATGACTATTGACTACCTTCTTACAAAACACAGGTTCATCGCATACGTACTGTCATTCGACCGTCTGACCCTCCCCGCGCCATGCCTCCGCAGGTGGAGTATCAGTGCGATGAGTACCACGGTGCGTCTGCAGGCGGCCGTCCCGTCCGCGGACGCCATTGCCGCCTATGAAGAGTCGGTCAGCGACCAGCTGGCGCGTCTGCTGCACTCGGAGAGGCACCCGGAGCTGCTGCAGGCCGCCAGGTGGGGAGTTGGGCGCTGAACACTCACTCACACTTACTGGTTCATACACTCATTAAGCATTCACTTACCGGTTCATAAACTCACTCACTCACTCATTCACTCACTCACTCACTCACTCACTCACTCGCTCACGTACGCATGCACTCTTTCACTCACTCAATCAATCAATCAATCAATCAATCAATTATTCATTCATTTACTCACTCAAGCACTTTTTCACTCACTCGCAAGGTCATTCACACCTGCTCACCCGGCTGGCCATTTTCTCTCACAAAATACTCACGTTCTTTCTCAGCTTTTTCAGTATCCCATTACTAAATTACTATCGCCTTTGCAGCACCTACCACGTGGTAACTCACTGACGGGATCACTCATTCCCCGTTTCTCCCAGCACCGAACTCACATCTCAGTTGGATGGCGTTCCCGACCTAAAGAGCCCCTCGCCCGGGGGCTTTCATCCCAGCCCGGCGCAGCATCTGCTGCTTACCATTCAGACAGAGCACTGCGGGTGACACGTCTTCAGTTGAAAGCGCCCGCATCTGAGAATCTCCCGCGCGGTACCCGCATTCTCATCCAACCTGGCCTGGTTATGTAAGTCCCCCTGTGAAGACATACGCCTCGCCAGAGACTGGCCTCGTGACCTGATGCCGAGTGGCGCGCTGTCGTATCCCGAGTGCTGCCATCGTGTCCCTGTTTCCCGGACGGATTGTGTATCGGCTCAGTAGCCCCATTACGCGTTGTGATGGTGCGCCGCCGTCCGTCGGCCGGTATCAGGTGCCGGAGATGTCCCCTCCACCGCGTCAGGATCAGTAATAGTGGTAGCTGCCGGAACCCGAGGCCCCTTACCGGGCGTCCTATTTGTGAATGGATGCTGGACTATTTTTGTGACAGCCTGCCGGTGATGAGGTGTGTTTTGTCCGGTATAAGCGGCAGTCAGGGCTTGAAGCGTATACCAGCGTCAGTTAGTCTGTCGCACTGAGTTCCATTATTTCCAATATGGAAGGTATGAGTGTATTACAAGCTCCATTGACAAGCAATGTAAGCTAAGGCATCCTAGATCATCCTAGATATCGTATATGCCACCAGAAATGGCACTACGATTGTATTTTATATCCTGAACTCAACGCTGTGAGATTGCTTGAGGTCAATGGGGCCAGTGTTGACCAAGGTCAGAACCATTGACCAATTGACCCGTGAGTAACAGCTGTCTGTCCCCGACGTTCCGTGCCCAGCTGGCTGGGACTGCTCCGCCTACGTCACCTCATCTGTGTGTCATTCCCAGTGTGCTGTGTGAGACCGTGCGAGACCTGATCGCTCGGGTGGGCAGCTCGACTGGCGACTCCACGCCCGCCGTCGGACGCAAGTGTGAGGTCCTCAACGAGAAGCTCTCACTGCTAATGGCCGCTCTGAAGGAGGAGGAACCAACCGTGCCCCCCGCGAGCGCCGGCCGCCGGGCGCGCACCGCGCCCGCGCCCGCTCCTGCTGCGTTCGTACCGCGAGACACACTGATGCTGCGAGCCAACAGTCTGAAGAAGGCTATCCGTGAGATAATGGCACACGCTGAGCACACCATCGACGAGCGGACGGCGGCGGCCGGCGCGGCCACGGCGGCTGCCGAGGCAGAAACGGAGACAAAGACGGAGACGGAGACGGCGGAATGGCAGGTGAGGGACGGAACGCGCGGGGAGGGGGAGGGGAAATGGGATATGTGGGAGGGAGAGGAGAGATGCTTGGGAGGTAGGTAACTATGACATGCGTGGGGTGGAAGATGCGGGGGGGGGGAGGGAGCGAGCTGCGTGTCTGGGCATTGGTGACACAGAGAAGACAGTTGTTACTATTCTTGTAGCGATTTGTTGGGTTTTGCTTATGGTTTTGGGTAAATACGGCACAGCGAGATGCGCTCCCGATTATATAAAGGAGATGCGATGCGCGTGTCTTGCGTGCCGATTGTCTATTTCTGTAGCTCCGGTCTCGCTTTTATCGTTTATATTCGGCGCGTTCAACGGGTGTGTTCAACAATCAATTTTCACCGCTCGTGTGCGCTGCTCGCCTATTTCTGCTCACACGTTGCGCTAGTCGCGTACGCTGCGGCCCACAATTAGGTCAGGTAAATTTGTTCCTCCTATCGGTGCGAGGGTGTATTTTCGTGACCATGCGCTAACGAGGATAGGTAAATAACCTCTGCCAGCGGAACGGGGATTAACCCAACGGTGACTGGACGTTGACCGAACGGCACATTAGCGTAAAATGAAGATGAGGCTATGCGAATGCAATTTTCTAGTTTTTCTTTTTCACTTTCAAGTTTTCTTGCATTGCGATAGTGTGCTTTTTAGTTAGTTTTGAGCAACTACGCCCCTTGTCAACATTGCGTCAGTCCTTGTACTGGCTGCTACAGTTACCGATTCGGTAGCCTTACCATGTCCGTATAACCGACCCTGTCGCAGCTGTGTGACTAGCTGGGGCCCCTTGCAACTCATTGCGTTCCGTACCACATGTGACCGTCCTTTCTCTTTTGGGTCCGTCTCGTCACCGTTCAGCCGTCCCGTCATCGTGTAACCGCCATGTCCCCATGTGATCACCCTAATGCCATACGGCCGTCTTGGTCCCTCGTGTGACCGTCCCATGCCGCATTGACCGTCCCGTGTCCCCGCGTAACCTTGCCGTTCTCCGTGCGTGGCACAGGTGGAGCCGTCGCCGTCGCCGATGGCCTCGCCGTACCGGATGGCCGGCTCGATGACCACCTCGTTCCCGGTGCGGCCGTGGCCGGCCGGCGGCGCGCCGCCCTGGACCGTGCGCCAGCCGTCACCTCTGCTGGCCGGCAGCACCGCCGCCCCGGCGTGCACGGTCCCAGAGCTGGCCGTCGAGCCGGCCTCGCCCGAGGACTCGCCGCTGCCCACCCACGCGCCCGTCGAGAGGAGGCCCAGCGAGGAGATATCGCAGCTGTTCGCGGCCAGCGCCGGGGCCGGACATGGTGACGGGGATAAGGTAAGGCGAAGGTTAGAGGCTGTTGAAGGGAAGGGGCAATGTTCGCAATAGTACAGTAGGATGAGAATCGCCCTCTGAGCCAACTGGCGATTATAGCCCACCCCGAGACATTGCTCAGTTGGACAGCTTGTGGACTTGCCGTCAATTGGGTCCAGATAGTCAGTGAATTACGAGTGGATTGCGCTGTTCGTCTGTATGAGCCCGCTAAACGCTATAACCTAACCTGACCTAGCCTAACGCTATAATTAACTATTTACTCGAACATGTGTCCAGCTCTGACCTCTATCCGTTTCACAGACGCCGTCGCCGCCGAACCCGCTGTCCATCAGTCCGCTGCCGGCGGTGCGCGGCGAGACACCCAGTGAGCTGGAACCTCTGCCCGACATCCCCGCTCCGACGCCGTTCGCCGACGGACGCCGGCCGTCCGAGGGAGACGTCGAGCCGGTCGGCGAGCAGGGGCCGGCGAGCGGCGAGGGCGAGCGGGAGACTATCGGCGAGGGCGAGCGGGAGCCGAGCGGCGAGCGTGACTCCAGCGCGGAGCCGGAGCCGGAGCCGGGGAGGGAGCTAACGGGCCTGCTCGGCTCTGATACTGTCCAGCTGAGGATCAACTCGTCGGCCGATAGCCTGCTGGATGGATTCGACGACGACGAGCCGCTGCTGGTGGAGCAGAAATCGGTCAGAGGTGAGTTGGGCCTTCTGTGCACGGAGGGGCTGGCTGGATAGGGGAACTGGAGATGGCTCAGACCTTAAGCACAGACGGCAGGAAGGGAGAAGTGCCCGCTCCGCCAAATGGTAATCTGTGTTTGGGTGCAGCTTGCTGGCTGGTACACCTCGACCCATTGGTTGGTGGTTCTGCGACTGTTCTCCGGGCTTCCTTGGGGGGCATCGCTCACGCTGAGACTTTCCGAAGTTTGTGACGCTCTGGCGTCGTATCAGCTGATGCTAGTACGGGAGGGTGGAAAAGTTGATGCGTTGCCAAAGTTGCCGGAGATTCATTACTATGCCATGTCAACTTTTCAAAGTTCGTGTTTGTGGTTGTAAGATCCTGCTGGTAAGAAAACACCTGTAAGGCTAAGGAACTGACGGCTGAAACCAAATTAGATTGTTTAAGTCCTGTTTCCGTTCTTTCATGCTTAGATGAGTACAAAGGAAATGCACTAATGCTCGGATCCGGCCGTACAATGTACATACTGAAGCAGCGCAGTCCCCGGTTACAAAGCAGACCTCACCACCTTGCCTTTCCGTCCGTTTCACCTCTGAGTGGTCTATCACCGCCTACCTACCTTCCCGGCCGTTCGCCTGTGTAATGGCCTATGCAAATGACTCGACGCTGTAGATTGGACCGGCCAGTGGCAGCTCAGTGGCGGCAGTCCCGCGAGGATACCTCTGTTTGTGGGACTGATAAGACCGTCGGCGTATGGACAGCGTCGTCCGGTCGGTATATTGGACGGCTGCCCCCGGGCGACACCAGTTTCCCGGGCTGTGAGATGTTGAGAAGTTATTTATATGGGCGAGTTTTACATATCCCTCTGGCACTACAACAAACCAGCTGCGGACTTTATCTGCGCTATACTGAAGCAGTCTGACGTAGGCATTTCGTTTCAACGCCCGCAATAGCAAATGCATAGGGACCAGCATAGTTGAATATTTCAATTGCGTTTGTGTATTTATTTTATTGCCACCGCAATCATCCCGGAATCCCAACATTGGATGGCGTCGTTGTGTTGCGGTACAGCATTTACCACGTCCTATTCTGGCTGAGGCAAGGCGTCAGTCTGAAATACCGCGCCTTCAGAGCGCGCCAGAATGGAGTGTGACGAAACCGGCTCACCGGCCGCCGCGCGGCAGAGCGCATTTCTCAATCGGAGGGCGGCTGCGGCGCGGAATTTCATTACATGTCGTGTGTGGGTGCCGGACTTCACCATAACTCTGCCGCGATCGGTGCCGACGGAAGGCGGTGCGAAGGGAGTGGTCTGTCTAGATTCTAGAATGATTCGCACCGTGCGCTATTCAGACATACGGCTAGAAATGCAGAAATAGAATAGAGCGAAATTGCTTTTGACCCGTCTGGATGTTGCCATTTGCTGCTCACCTTTGTCGTTCGTAACCGCCCTTGACCCTGGTAACTGCTGACTGGCCGTGACCCTGACCGTTTACCTTGCCCTGACTGTTTGTTGGCCTCTGACCGCTGACCGCTGACCTCTGACCGCTGACCGCTGACCGCTGACCTCTAACCGCTGACCGTACCCCCGACCTCTCCACAGACGGCAGCGGGGAGTCGAGCTGTGCCGACACCCCGCCGCTGATGGCGAAACACGCCGCCGAGCTGGAGCGGCTGGACGGAGACGGCGACAGCACCGACTTCAGCGGGACGACGGCCGTCGCGGAGCCAGGTGAGCCCGACGGCGTCACGTCCGCTTCGTGCGCCGCGCCGCGCCGAGCTCTGTCTGTGCCGCGCCGCGCTGGCCCGTGCTGAGCTCTGTCTCTGCTGCGCTGGTCCGCGCCGCTGGCAGCGTGTCTTGGCAGGCTGCGCTTCAGTGCGCTGCCTGAGTCGCTGCCTGTGTCTGTGTTGCACAGTGGAATTTTTGGCTTAAATCCCCGGCTTTTTGTTGGGGTCGGTGGTCGTTCGTGTGAGTGCGTTGGCCTGTCGAGTCGCGTCTCTGTGAGTTCGACTGACGTTGAGCTGTGGGATTAAACTGTCTGTGCTGGACATAACGTCTGGAGCGCTGTCTAAATCGGACCTTTTAGGTGCGTCAAAGGTGCGTTGTGCTGTTCAAAGCTTCGGTGGTTATTGACGTTGTTTCTGACTCGATTTCAGGATGTTCCGGCAGGCAATGTATTTTGTTGGCCTATATCCGTTTGTTGCGTCGTGTTGTTGATCTGTCCGGGAAATGGGACAGTGGGGATGCCCAGCCTTCTCCCAGCTGTGTACTGCCGGTGCGGTAATCATCCTCCGTCGCTAGATAACATCAAAGGCTGCTATTAGACCGCAGCTCGCCAGAGCTTAAATTATGTCCTCCCCTTTCATCAAAATTCCCTTTTAACCTGGTGAGCTTGCATCATTTCTAGTATGCACCATAATTCATAATCGCGTTGCTGAAGCTTCTTATGATGGAGAGACTCTCCATCAAACTTACGAGCTTATTGCATCCTAGTGTGTTCCATTCAGTGTTGCATTGTTGAAGCTGCTTACAGAAGGAAGATTATTACCTGTACCGTCTGTACCTCTGACGTCACATCGATTCCCCTTTACGGGTGTCGAGTGTGTCGACTTCACTGCCTCCCTCCACGGGCTCAGTACATTTGTAGCTGTGTTTGTTCCTGTTGGTTATGACCATCAGAAAAGCTTGTTGCTTCGCCCCTCCCGGCCCCCATGTGCTGCGTCCATCAATTGGTACATGTCTATGCTCATTGCCGACCGCCCAACATCGTTCCGCTGGTTCACGTCTGTTTGGTGACCGTCTGGTGCCTGTTGGTCGCTCCTCGTGTCTATGTCCAGTGACCGTTCAGCGTCCGTCGGTCGCTCTCAGTGTCTGACGTCTGTCGGTTGCTCCCCGTGTCTCTGTGCGCTGACCGTCTGGTGAGCTTCAGTCACTCCCCGCGTCTATGTCCGGTGACTGTTCACCGTTCAGCGTCCTTTGGTGGTTTCCCGTGTCTCCGTCTGGCGTCCTTTGGTCGCTCCGTGTGTGCCCGCTCGGCGCCAGCGGCCGGGTGTGGCCGCGCGCCGTGTCAGCTGACTGCCGCTGTCTGCAGTCGCGGCGGCGCCGCTGGAGCCGCCGGCCCCGCCGGCCGCCGCCGGGGCCTCGCCCGACCACCACCGGCGCACGCCCATCATCAACCCGCTGGTCTGCCTGCCGGCCTGGCCCAGTGAGTCACCGCTAACTGCTGCTCCGCCCGCTGCTGGCGGAGCCTGTGACGGTAGCGCTGCCGCCGCACCCAGCTGGGTGCCGCCGCGTCCACCCCGCCTCCGCGGCCGGCGGTGCGCCCCTCGCTGACCGCTCTGCTTTGGTGTTTCTCTCTTTCTCTCTGCTGCCCGCCCCGATACCCCGAGCGGCTGCTTGTGTGTTGTGCTGGGAATAACGCTCGCGGCTAGCGGGCGCTGACTTTTGGTTGTGCTATCAGATGGCATTTGAGATGATCTTGGTGTTTTTGGCTCGATGTTCCTGATGATTCGTGTCTTGTATATGGCGTATTTGTGACGTATGTGCCTTCAGAGAAGAAATATTCAACCTTTTTAGTGTCATTGTTGTATATCGCTCGGTTTCGATACGTTTGTTCGAAACCTGCTTGCTGTCTGCTGTCGTTAGGCTTGCTTTTGTTTATTTAAACCGTACGAGCCTGTTGATTATTCACGTCAAAGTGTTGACATGACCTCTGTAAGTGACGTGGGTTGTTTCATTGTCGTGGTTCTTTTTCATCATGCCTACAGGGTGTCCGGAAATTATTTGCCCCTCCATCAGCTCGCCGCCATAATTAATAAACAAAGAACCCCGGATCATGGTTTACTTACCGATTTATCCCCTGCCCTGTCCTACCCATTCCCTCATCCGCTTTGGCATTCCACAGATCAAGATGTCCAGAGTATCCGCGCTGATGTTCAGCCACACCTTTCACAGGTTCCACTAAAGTCTGTTTTCTGTGGGAGCTGGTTCAATCTTGCTGAGCTCCTCGTTCATGATTCCCCATAGGTTTTCGACTGGGATTAGGACAGAGGATTTGATTTGACTTCCTACTTCATTCCAGTCTTCACCATAACTTCAGCGCGATGACGCTATGTCAAAGAGTTTCTTTCGTCATAGTAGACACCACGTTCAGGTGCGAGTTACGCCTGCCAAAGGCTGGCCCCTGGCGCCTCGCAAGTGTCAAGGTCAGGTGACTGGGTTAGGTCATGTGACTAACGGACAGCTGTGGATAGCCTGAGGCACGGTCATAGCAAATTTTCAACAGTTCTTAACCCGCGCCCTGGTGGGGGGGGGGCTATTTTTTGCCCCCCCTCCAGACTTTTCAATATATCTCCAGAACCGCTGCGCCGATCGTCACCAAACTTTCAGTACCCTCCCGGACATCAATTTTACACATTGTGACCAAACATTTTTCCAAAGGCTATGATAGGTTGGCCGGAAATGACGTCAGAGTGACGTCATGTTCTGCCGTTTTCGACCCAAAAAAGGGTTTCGCGGGAAGAGCTGTCAGGCCTATAGCTTTGCAAATACAGAAAAACGATATAAACATAAAAGCTGTAGAATTGACAGGGCTACAAAACTGCTATCTCGGATTTTTTAAATTTTTGGATTTTGACCCCCAAAAATCAAAAAATAGATTTTTTGATTATAATAGCCGAAAAATCCAAAAAGTTTTTTGAATTTCGAAAAAAAAAAACGGAATATATGTGATAGTCCTTACCGCCTTCTATCTACATACCAAATTTGAGATCAATACCTCTTTTTTGGCCAAGTTACAGCGAAAAAACTGTTCAAAATTGATGACGTCAAATTTTCAAACTCAATTTTTTGCAATTCTAGACCTCGTAGCGCAAAACAAAGACCACCATTAGACTCCCCGTGACGAGCTGCATCGAATCAATACCCATTTTATGCAAAAATATCAACTTTGAAATTTGACCTTTTTTGACCTGACCTTGACCTGACCTCCACCAGAAAGTGACCTAAGCCGTACCTGATAGTCTTATAACCAACACCATTGAGTTGGAAATGAAAAATTGGCCATAAAACATGCATCGCACAACCTTAGTACCTAAACTTAGGTTCATGTGACCTGTGACCCTTGGTGACCTGACCTGTGACCTGACCTGGTAATGTCAGTGACCTCTTATAGCAATATATGTACTAGGCAACTGACGCCCTATCGCTGATTCTCGACAAAATGCGTTTTCTTCGGTGTTATAGCGCATTCCCTAGATGACCCGTGAACGGTGAAACATTTCATCTTTGACCTGACCTGTGACGTCATCGGTGACCCCGAGGTCAATGAAATTTGGTTTCCTTCGACAAATTTGACAGGCCTTTCGAACGCCGTTTGAATTTTGCGGATCCGTCCAGTAGTTTCGGAGATACGAGGGGGGGGGCAAAAAATAGCCCCCCCCCCCCCCACCAGGTCGCGTTATAAACAGACCCCACCAGGGCGCGGGTTAAAGTGCACGGTGGGATTATAGCTGAATGAACAAGGGGAAAATAATTTCCGGACACCCTGTAAATTTCCTTCGATTATTCATGACCGATTACTGCCTGTTTCAGAACTTTTGCATGTCATGGTCGTTTGGTATCGGATTATTTTGTATGTAATAGGAAGCATGTTCCATTTTATGCCTTTTTTCGGTTGGGCATTTAGGACGTTTTATGAATGTGTCCCGGTCAGCCTTTTTAAGGTTCTGCCTTACTATGGGTTGTTTTTGTTTTCGCAAGTGAACCGTTGTATGGTACACAGTATCGAAGTCGAAGTTCACCATGCCTTTCGAGCATCTGATGTCTTCACAATGCAACATTAGTCGATGATGTATGTATATGACCTGTTTTCGTGTCCCCGTTGTGTTGCTCGTTCTTAGCCCAGGACAGTATCAGTAACTGACGAAGCTGGTTCTTGCTTGAGTGCCTGCGTTCTTTTTGGCGGCGTATTTTCTGTGTATATCGTTTGTATGCTGCCGCCTCGCAGCCGCGACGTCAATGTTGCTGCTTTCAGTGCCAGTTTTATGCTTCATTTTCCGATGCAGTGCTGGCTAAACTTACCCGCTGCATATCGGGTGTTCTGCACGAGGGGTCATGTCCATTTAAACCACACTCTCTAATTCAGTCGTGGATCTTTCCGGTGTCTTGTCATCGTACGTTGACAAGAAACCGGAGTGGTGACTGTAATCACGCCACGTTAAAATTTGATTCACGATCACTTATTGACCATATCATCTCTCTTCGGGCAATATCGTGCCGAACACCCGGTTTCCGGCGGGCCTCTGCCGCGTGTGTTGCTTTTTTGCGGGATGCCTGGGCGCTCACTGGTCCTACCCGTAACCCGGGTGTAAGCAATCACTGACTCGGTTACTTATACCTCTAACGAGCTTTTTTCGAGGCCGATGAAATATGTTTACGCTGTCACAGTTCCTGATGACTAATTACCGCGAGTCTGTGCCTTCACGCAGCCGGCTGACGGCTGTTTTCCCGTTTGGCCACCAGATGTCTCCAGCTCCGGCGGCGGCCTGATCCAGAACGTACTGATGGCCCACGCTGACGCCCTGTGTGCCGCCGCCAGTCCGCTGGTCGCCATGCAGCACACACTGTGAGTGGGACGGCAGAAGGGGCTGTGACATGGGTGTCTGGTAGCTGTTCGCTGGTAAGGTTGTAGGCCCAAGTGCCAGCCAGATTGCGTTCAGGGCATGGCTGTAATGTTAGCGACAGTAACGTCGCCTCCTCGCTCTAGTCTAATCTTTATGGTGATGAAATTACTTGGATCGACAAATCGAACGTTTTTCCCTCCGAGACTTCGACCCATTCTGACCCGTTCTTTTTTCCTCAATCTCTCCAACACCGATGGCAGGTACAGCAACGGCTTCGAGGAGAAGGGCGTCATGAACAACTACTTCGGGATCGGCATTGACGCCAAGATCTCGCTGGACTTCCACAACAAGCGCGAGGGCAACCCTCAGAAGTGCCGGAGCCGCACCAAGAACTTCATGTGGTACGGCGTGCTCGGCAGCAAGGAACTGATACAGGTGAGGGCTGCTTCAAGAAGCAAATGCATTTAGTTGCGTGGTTACTGATTATTTAATGTCTCATTAAGACCTTTGCTGCTTGCGTTATTTGAAATTACTCGGCTGTTTGGCTGACGACTAGTTGGTCAGATGGAAACTCTCCTGAGTCGTGACCCGGCTCGTCTTCATTTTGTGTCGTGTTTTTGTCACGCATTGTATGAATTGGAGCTTGTCTAATTTGCGTGTATCCGCGACAGAAAACCTACAAGAACCTGGAGCAGCGTGTGAAGCTGGAGTGTGACGGCCACGTCATCCCGCTGCCGTCGCTGCAGGGAATCGTGGTGCTCAACATTCCCAGGTGAGCTGACGTAGCCCTGGATTTGGCCCCGCCCATGACGGGGTGTGTTCAATCGACCTGCTGGTTTGATGTCGCCAATGTCCATTCTTAGCAGCTGTGTGTTCCATGGAACGGTTGAATACTTTTTTCTCACGGACGTATCATATTTGTACATGTTATTAATTATCATTGACGTAATTTCAATCTCGTCGACTGGCCCCACTTACCTCCCCCCCCCCGCTCGTCAGTTTCATGGGCGGCACCAACTTCTGGGGCCGCCGGCGCGACGAGGATTGTTTCCTGTTGCCCAGTTTCGACGACCGCATCCTAGAGGTGGTGGCGGTGTTTGGTACCGTTCAGATGGCCGCCAGTCGTATCATCAACCTGCAGCATCACCGGATCGCCCAGTGTCAGACCGTCAAAATCACCATACTCGGTTAGTGGACGCGAGGGGAGGCGCTAGGTATGTGGGGTCGTGTGTGGAGGTCGGTACAGCAGCGGTAACAAATGCTAGGTAGTGCAGATTTGATCCGCGAGCTTCGTTATTTTGGGCTGGGAGTTGGATAAGAAATGTCTCGGCGTGTAAATAAAGCTTGCATAAGCTTACCGTTAGCGATCCATGCCTCCTAGACGAAAGTGTGATATCTGAGTTAATGAGCTCTTGAATAATGAGTTTTTTTCAGCTTCGTATGTGGCGATATCCCTGGCCGGGTGTTTAACTGTCCCCCATTCGCAAACTCACAGATGCTTGTGCCTTTGCTAACGATGTGCTGTCGGCCGTCTGCCCCACAGGTGACGAGGAGGTGCCCGTGGAGGTGGACGGGGAGGCCTGGGTGCAGCAGCCGGGCGTCATCAAAATCACCCACAAAAACCGGGTGCAGATGCTCGCCAGAAATAGGGTACGTGAAGAATCGTGTAAAATTGCTACGTCGTCATGAATCACTGACAGTTCTGCCTGTTGCTTCATGAGGGTTGATTTCGAAATAAAAGACTCAGTTAGTTTTATATTCATAATTTAAATATAATTATAATGCATTTGCTGACGCTAAGTCTAGTCCGCCCCAATATGCAGTGCACCACCCCCGTCTGACTCCCGTCCCGCCCACCACCAGAGTCTGGAGGCCTCTCTGCGCACCTGGCAGGAGAAGCAGCAGCGGCGCCAGTCGGTCACCCTGAGCGCCTCGCTGACCGACGACGAGCAGATTCTGCTGCGGGAGCTCATCGAGTCATCGCTGCACTTCGTCAGGTTCGTCGGAGAGGAGGAGGATATGGATTGTGGGGGCTTATGCTGGGGTCGAGAAGGAACATGAGTGACATCGTGCTTTGCCATAATGGCTTCGAGAAGGAGAAAGGGTCGAATTTCGTCTTTTGTTTGTTTGTTTGTTTGTTTGTTTGTTTGTTTGTTTGTTTGTTTGTTTGTTTGTTTGTTTGTTTTGTTGGGTTAGGCCCTTTCGGTCCAGTAAGACCATTTCAGAGCCGGGAGGATGATAGGATATAGGGGGAGACATTGGTCTGAGCAGGCACCCTAGTGAGTCGCCGGGGCTGAGCCCGTCCGAAGACAGGCCACCCAGCCCCAAGGCACTCACTGCACCCGGCTACGGGGTGCGCTCCCTCGGGAGCAGCGGTGCCGCTCCAAGGGAGCAGCCCGCATGAGATAAAGTTGCCTGTCCAGCCCGGAGTGGGGTGGCGGTGTGGAGGAGAAGGATTTCAGTATCCTGAGGATAGAAGCATGGAACGGTGAATTTCGTCTGGACCGTCGTGAAGTATGAAGCAAAGAAGTGCGGAGCTAATGTTCCGTTGAGAAGGGAGCGTTGAGTCCCTACTTTGTCGGGTTGGATCGGAGGAGGGCAAGGGATCCGACTTTGTCCGGTCGGTCTTTGGAACATGGTGATGGGGTTTGTTCATGGTTAGGATGTCAGGGAGAGGAAGGGGTCCGTACCTAAGCGGGTGGGTCTGGCTGGTGGGTGTCGTTGGTTAATAACACCTTGTACGGTCTAACGTGATAAATGAAGGCAACTTTGTGGTCATTAACTTTGACGCGATCACCGAATAGATGACTTGGTGCCCAACTGTCGTAAAATAAAATCCAGTAGAAGTTAGCTAATCGGGGATGGCGGCTTTTGCGTCCGTTCATCTCGCTTGTCCTTCGGCGTCCTGTTTGCACGTATTTAACCACCCCTCTCCCCTGCCCCCAGGACCAGTAAGCTGTTTATGAAGCGTTACGGCGGTCTGCCGGGCGGTCGGGAGCTCCAGCAGGCGGTCGGACAGACCACGGCCGTCCTAGAGAGACTGGCGCCGGCAGCGGGCTCCTCCGGCACCGGAGCGCCGCCTCTCGCCGAACTGGTACGGAATTAGGATGGGGAGCGGGGCTCTGGCTGGCCCGATGTAGTCTGGAGAGGGAGGAATGGGAACTGGCTGAGATTTTACAGAATTAGGGGAGTATTGAAGGCATCAGGTATCATCTATTAGGTGCACCGAGTCAGGTCTTGTTGCACTCATGATGTGAGACTCATTATACAATTTATTGGGGCAAATACTAATGTGTCGTGTCAGCTGCCGCGGTTTTCTGATTATCCTATGACTGACCTGATCTGACCTGTCTCGGCAGGGCTCCCACCGTCCGGAGGTCTCCGATCTAGTGACCTCGGTTCGCTCCCTCCACTCGCAAATGGCCGACTTCCTGCACGAGTGTGGCTCACACATTGTAAGTAGCTGACCAGGCTGGCTGTGACTAGATCTAAGTGTAGGGTTTGTGAACTCTCGGTTAGTTTCTGGCAAGACAGATGTTGTGGACAGTGGGTATCCGAGCCTAATCCAGCTCGTCAAGTGTATGTGATATGTCTTGCAGCTGTTCGGATCTGACAATATATCTGTGTTCTGTGCTCAGAACCAGTGTGGCGGTCTGGAGGAGCAGTTGGTGACGGCCATGTCTCAGCTGGTGTAATATGTTCTCCTGTTCTGACTGTCTTGTCTGTTCTCTCTCTCTCTCTCTCTCTCTTCTCTCTCTCCCCAGAACCAGTGCGGTGGCCTGGAGGAGCAGCTGGTGACGGCCATGTCTCAGCTCGAGGCCGAGTTACGACACGCCCAGTCCGTGCACGGAGCCGTCCAGTTCACAGCGGCCACAGACCCGGCGGAGGTGAGAGACGGGCGGGGAGCATAGTTATAGGCAGTTTTTTTTAGATGAAGCACCTTTCGTGACTGTGTTCCCACCACCCGGTAGTTTAGGCCGTTGTTTCCTTACCCTCCCCACCCCTCCCGCAGCCGGGCGCGGAGAAGCAGCGCCGCCAGTCGCGCGGCGGCCTGTTCCGCCGGCGGCTGCGGCGCGAGGGCCGGCCGCCGGCGGCGCCGTCGCCCGGTCCGCCGCCGCCGGCCGGCGCTGCCGCCGTGGCCGCCTGGACCACAGAGGAGGTGGTGGCCTGGTTGGAGAGTATCGCGCTGCCAGAGTACCGCAACAGCTTCATACGACACGACGTGCGCGGCCCGGAACTGCTCAGCCTGGAGCGCAGGTGAGCGGCACCGCCGTCGCCGTGCTGGTTTAACTGGGACGATAAGAGATTCACTCGGGCACGGTGTTAGTATGATTTTTACGGGTTGCACTGCAGCTACTGTCCTTGTTGACTTTGTATCATACGTAGCTTTGGTATCTTTGGTATCTTTGGTAGGTTTAGTGAGTAATTTAGTTTCGGCATATCCTGACGCGCTGCGCTCGGTTTCAGGGACCTCAAAGAGCTCGGTATCGTCAAGATCGGCCATATCAAGCGAATACAGCAAGCCATCAAGGAAATTCGAAACACCCCTTAGCTGTAATCGTTCTCAGGGACTTGTCTGTGGTTTCTAGTTTGTTTTTATTCATTTACCCTGACTGTGTGCGTGACGCGATTCGGAGACTGCTTCGTATGACCAGAACGGCCTTTGAGCCGATAGTGTGAAACGGTTGGGCCAATTTCTAAGTGTAAATTGCGTGTTTTTACCTCGTCTGTTTTATTTATATCGATGATGATCATGTTCACCGTCGCGGTCTGGACCAGTTTAGTGACATTCGCCGGCGTTCCTCTGAGCGCCGGCGGCGGTTTTAGTTCCCGTGTGGGACGCTCCGAGTGGTGCCGGCGGCGCCGCGCCGGAGAGGGCCGTCTGTTCCCCGGCCCGGTGCCGGCCACTAGTGGGACTCGTGCCCAGTTCCTACACCTTGGTCTCAGTCGGCGGCACCGCGCCGCCGTGTGGGGCGGCACATTCCGGCGGCCGCCTCACCCGCCCCCGCCCCCGCCCCCGCCCCCGCATCATCTACCTCGTAGCCCGACAATGACAGAGAGAGAGCGCGAGAGAGATGGAGGACGGTTGTCCGCGTGCACCGCGCTGTCGCACAACTCGCCCCGGTGCACCGTGCTGTCTCATGGTGTGCGGCACTGGATAGTCTTTAAGTGGGTTTTGTGTACCCCACTCAACCACGGTGCCGCCTTCGCTTCGGTCCTTCGCTGGCAATAAGCATGTGTGCGCACTGTCTGTATACCTACGCTTAGTATGTTTGGAGAATGACCGCGGACCGGGTTGTAAAAGTGTGTGTGTTTGGGGGCAGTGGGAGTGTAGAGAAGCGAGCTTTACGGGCGGAACGGAGTGTGTCTGGGTGAGGTTGATGTTACCGGGGATGTGAATGCAGCCCACTGAGGCCGGGTCGCCCGCCGCTCCGGCGTCTGAAGGTCCCTCTGACCGACCTCTGTCTGCGGGAGGTGCGGCTCCGGATTCCTGTGTTCCCTGGCGATCCAGTCCCGACATACCGTGTTCCGCGGCGGCCCCGCCGGACGCCTGTGCCCCTCAGGACCGGCCGCGGTGCCGGCTGCACGCCTTCTGTTGTTTCATACCACCGATATGGCCGTCAGTGATCGTTGTGTGGCCGCCCGAGTGCGGTCCACTCTACTCTTATATCTGGGCCCAGTGCCTCTCTATCTCTGACATGCACGCGATGTTTGTATGTGTGGGAATCTATGTACGGTTATAACTGTTGGGGTTTGTGGGTCTTTATATTTATTACCGTTTTAGTCATCTGACTTTGTACCGGCCCGCCGACGGTTTTACCCATTTACGCAGTTTGTGCAATATACGTGACACCTATGTGAGCGGATGTGCTCTGGAGCGTAGCGTCGGGTCAAATTTATCTCATGGACGCGCAACACTAACGCCGGACCTCCATTTTAAACATACCTTTCTGGCTATCGTCCCACTCTCCTCCCCGCCACTCGCTGGCTACTTTGGTCACCGGGCATCGAATCACTTCATGAAGCAACAGTTCCACGCGTTGACTCGTTTAGTAGACGGAAAACGGCAAAAGAGGTTGCCCTAACCCACCGAGATTAAGGTGAATGGGGATCGACGAGTATGTCAATTGTCAGCACTCCTGGGCAGTGTTTCACTACAGCGCGCTACGAGTAGCGGTGTATTTGGTTTCCAAGGAAACATCAACAAACTCGAACGCTCGCAACGCTGAAAGGTCGTCGAGAATTCTTCGCAAACGCCGCACCAGTGCTATAGCGCACTGTAGCGGCGTGTCAAGAAACAGAATGTTCCGAGTTCCGACCGAGAGTTCGAACCTGGACCTGGCTGCCTTCGCTACGCTATGCGACTAATGGTGATGTTAACGTACAAAAAAGGGCCGATCTCTCAGGAACATCCTCCAGCAGCTCAAATGAGCATTGAGCCCATTAGAAACTTCAACTCTTCATCTAAAAGTCATCATCTTCAGTTGTTGCCAAATTATGTATTACAAACGACCAATATAAATATTCTATCGATACAACTCCGGCGTGGAATCTGTCTCACACAACGAGAAGAGAACGCATCGAACATGGCGAGCACTCACGATGACGGGATGAGACGCGAAGGCACAGGGTGCCCTCTGCCCGGTCCGCCCGGGCCGGCGGCCCCAGCGCCCTCAGCACCGCTCATGCTCTCCAATTTGGGCGGGTCGTACGGGCTCCCTCCCCAGCGCGGTGCGTGGCGCGCGCTGACTACAGATCACGTGCCGCTCTGCTGGCTGCGGCGCTGCCGACTCGTCACTGAGCCGCTCGTCAGTCACTGGCGGCGAGTCACTGGTCATATTTTGGTCACTGGTCGGGCGGCGGCGGCCGCTCAGGACGGGTGGCCGGGCCGACTGCACGGCTCGATCTGCTGTCCCTGTACCCGCAGCGGGCTGGTGGGCGGCAGCGCGCCGACCGGCACCGGCGCCGGTTCCAGAACCACCACCGGTACGGGCGCCGAGGCCGCCAGGATGGCCGCCGCCGCCGGGTCGGCGCTGACCACCGGCACAGGGGTCGGGGCGGGGGCGGACGGCGGCCGCGCCGGGCGCGCCCGCTTCAGCGCCGGCAGGCTCTTGTAGCCGGGCCGGGCGGTGAGCGAGGGCCGGCCGGCGGCGGTGCGCGGCCGCGGCCGGCCCGCCGTCTCCGTCTCCATCGAGCTGAGGCCCGAGTCGGAAGACACGGTCCGGCTGGCCGACAGAGATGACGAGCTGCCGAGAGCACACACGGAGGTCGGTCAGATACTCGACAGGGTAGTGGGAAATATTAGGCCTGCGTTCGCACGGGCCACTTTTCGCGTGGAATTTCCCCGCTGAGGAATTCCTCACGAAAACGGCCGTTCGGGCAACGCGAATCGCGAAGAATTCCACAGTATACCGCGAAACGGGCTTGCCCGAACGGCTGTTTTCGTGAGTAATTCCTCAGCGTGAAACTTCCACGCGAAAAACGGCACGCCCGACACACGGTAGGTGAAACACTGGTTATGGTGAACATACCAGCCAAGCGGCGGTGATTGCTTCAGATGAGCACAACGACCATGTAACAGGACTTTATTCTGTCATAAATGTTAGTTTGATACACACACGTTCTCCAAGACATAATTTTTTCAGTTTCATTACGATACGTGAGAAAAATACCCAAGCCAGCAAGTGTAACAATCCTGTATGATCATTGTTGCACACGCATCGCAGTTTTACACGGACAGTGTGCTAACCAGCCTCACCTTTTGGTGGTCCTGGTCGCCGCCGGGGTGGAGATGCTGGTGGCAGCCAGGAGGGCGGCCTTGCGTGCTGCCTCGGCCGCCGCCACCACCTCAGCCGTGAACGTCTGTAAAAAGTGGTGGCGTCAGTATGGAACCCTGAACAGCTCCCAGCGGATCAGACGGAAAATTCGGGTGTGTCCGGATCGCGGCGGAGGCGGAACTTCACCAGTGACTTCTATACGCAGGCGGCGAATGCAAACGTCTATCTTGTAGCATACAAGTAATTGGTGTCTCGTTCTGCCATACAAATGCGCTACTTTCGATAGCAGAGGTAGCGCCGTTAGACTAGCGCGGGTCCGAGTAACATAATTTACTGCTAAACACACGGGTGACAAACCACACCTGTCGCACACCATGATCTACAGGACACACCAAGACTTCCAGTTAAGGCCGACTTAAACAACTTATACGACTTATTCGACTTCTACCCCAACAGCAGATCCCTGTCATCGATAACAGATGCACTCACTCAAACTCATTGAAGTAAATGGAGAGAATCATACGCTGTCAGCCTGGTCCAGGCATCAGCTACGGCGAGCAGACGTAGGCAGGCAAAACGCCTGGTACATATGTGTACACTATGGGGTAACTTGTTTTCCTAAACCTACTTGACTAGATGGCGGGCGCGAGCCGAGAGGATGCAAAATATTTCAAATACCCATAAAGACAATAAACCTGGCCACTGCTTCAAGTAAGCAAACACAAGGCTAGCAGTACGCTACCGAAGGGTTAGCAGTACGCGCTTTGATCGTTACCGCTGATCAAGGCGCGATTCAATACTCGAAGCAGAGCGAGAGGGAAGAAATACAGGAGGAAGCGAGGAAAGGGAAGTGAAGGAACACGACAGGAGGCACTGAAGCAAAGCACGGAAATGGCAGGAAAAGAGGAAAGCGCAACTGAAAGCGGACAGGAATAGGTAAGTCGGAGGATCGTAGCGGACTCACTGGGGGCTAGATATCCTCCGGGAAGGCCATGGTGGGCACGTCGAGCCAGCTCTGGCGGTACAGAAACACGTCCAGCGGTCGGCACGGTCCGGCGCCGCGCCGGCCGACCACACTACCTCAACGCTCACACAGACTTGCTTCAAACACAGAAACAGAAACTCGCCTGTCTCACGGGCAGAGAGAAACTCAGACTTAGCACCGAGCACGGCAGTGCTTCAAGGGACAGTTGTGAGACTCATAGAAGGAAGCGAAGAGCCATGCTACCATGATTAAAAAAAAAAGGTTACCAGCTGAATGCATTGGATCATAGGATAGCACAGGAAGCCGAAGAAATTAACCCCAGAGCACGCCAAGTAAAAGCTCCAACGACGCAAGAAGGTCGTAAGTTCTATCCGCATCAGCGCGCAAAACTGCCAGTTGACATATAATCCATTGGCCGCATCTAAATCTCTAAATGAGTGTCACTTGTATCCTAACCGGCTCGTCCACCTCACTGATCCGTACCTTTCTCCGCAGGTAGTTGCTGGGCACGTGCAGGTGGTACTTGTCCTGACAGAGGCTGCGCAGCCGGCCGCGGCCCTGCTCGCGATCACGGCCGTACTTGGTCTCCCAGGCGTCCAGCAGGCGGTTGTAGTAGCGCGGCTTGTCAAAGTACTGGTGGTAGTGGTAAGTGCTCGCAGTCGGGAAGATGCGCACAAAACTGTGGAGATACGAACATGAGTGATGTAAGACAATACGCTTGAGGCCGCGTAAGACGAAGAGGCATCCACAGAGAAGAAACTTGCAATACATGGCATGAGACGACCAGCTTCAGGCCGCAGTTCGAGCGTCAGCTCGCGCCTGCGGCCGTGTGTCTGATAATTACTTACCCGCCTCGTTTGCTCAGCTCGTCCTCTGACCGGACCAGATGGCGCACGTCGTCCGGCGTCAGACACTCCAGAATCTTGGTCAGGTACTGTGGACCACATGTGGCAGCGTCAGACCATCGGCGGTAACATACAGAAGCATGTTCATTTAATGATAATATACCAGCAGCTGCAGTGGGAAACATTCGTGATGCGGTTCCAAGCTAGGGTAAATAAATGTAAGTTGTGGATCAATGCAATACATTAACCAAAACAACACCACTTATACTAGCGTCAGTCATTTCCTTGGCACACACGTTGCACAGTATTGCAAATCCATCGTGGATTGCCGGATCGCGACCGCGCAGAACTCCCTTATCACGCCACGACCCCCTCACCTGAGCCCTGTCCAGTTTGAGCATCTCGGTCTGTTTGGTGCGCTCCTCCTGGCTGCAGACACTCGTGTAGAGCCGCTTGTCGAGCACCAGCCGTTGCAGCGCCTCGCCGCACGACAGCTGCCCGATGACCTCCCGCTGCTGCTCGGCAGACAGCTTGTTGGGCACGTGGAAGCCGGCCATGTTGAAGAGGTCCCTCACCAGCGGACCCTTGACACTGAGGTCGACCGGCGCCGCCGAGTGCAGCGACGGGCTGATATTCACCTGAAATGGCAAGAGGAAGGAGAGGTCAGGCCAGGCTTACTGTGGTGTTCACCCAGTTTGCCAGGTGGGACATCGCCGAGGCTCGCACAGTGACATGCTATACCGTCTTCACTCTTCATATCGCTTTGGTATATATACTTATTGCCGTAGCATAACTTAACTGAGTAGCCAAATTATAGTGCAAATAGGTACACAATTGACCATTTCAAACTCAGTTTTTCATTGACAGTGTGAAAAAGTTAGAATCAGCGATCACAGCTCTCCACTCCAATCTGTTTACCTCCAGCAGCCAGGGCCGCAGCTTCTCGTCGAGGAGGACGTCGAAGCCGAACAGCTCGTGACAGCAGTAGTTGGAGACGACGTGCTGCCGCGACAGCGACAGGATGTGGTGCTCGCCGGCGATCAGCGTCTTCAGCACCATGTCGATGATGCGTCGCCACAAGGCGTCCGTGTCCACGCCCCGCTCGCGCATGTACGCCCAGAACACCTTCAGCGTCCTGAAACGGCGCGCAACGGGGTTAGGTGCGAATTGGGCTGCAGGTTCTTAGACGATCAGAAAACGGTCAGCGTCAACAAGTACTTTAGCCTTGCATCTACCGTCCACAAATCAATT